AGCAGTAGATTGTGTTACATTCAGTCCAGACAGGATCTTTAGTTTTTAAGTTTCCATGTATTGTGTGCCTCCTACTGTATTTAGCATACTACTGTCCATTATTCCAGCTTTAAAAGTGACATAACACAAATACAATTGAAGTGACTTCCAAGTTTAATAGCTGCTGAGTCTCACCTACCTGTGTTTCCTTCAGCATCAGGTTTGTCTAGAGGGTATTCTGGCATACACTCCAAGAAGAGGTCACAGATGGCTGCTGCATTATCTTTCCCATATTGTCCCAGAATATGCATTGGTGACTGGCCTCTGGGGAAAAGAGTTTGTTATCCTGATCAAAGTCTGCTTGCTACTGCAGTTACCCATCCAACTCTCCTTGCTTTCAAGCTTGACTTGAACAATACTGCATCTCAATACCTCGGTACATCATACACAACTCCCTACTTAACTTCCTTTCCTTGGTGTATACATATAATTTGCACAGAATTTAGACACAGCATCATCTGCACACTTCCAAATTTATGTATAAATAATATAATACATATTAATTGTAATTATTATAATACAATGTTTTAAAAAACCAAATATATATATTTTAAGCAGCATAATAGCACATATTTTGAAATACAAAGTGGTTCTTTAAGGCTGTTAATAATTACCTGATATTAAAGGCTTCTGCATCTACATTGCACTCTGTGAGGAGGACCCGGATGTTGTTCAGACGGCCATGCATCACTGCCAGATGCAGAGCTGAACAGTAAAAAAAAAACCAAGACAAAGAAGGTTCAAGACTCTGAGTATCAGCAATGATTACAGCTTAATAACTAAAGGAAACGCCCTCCTTCCACTTTCCCAACCCTCCTTCTCAAACAACTCCTTTGATCTGCTTTGATTTCCTGGATTTTCATTCTTCCACCTTTGCAGTGCAAGCCCAGTCATAGCGAGCTCTCTGCCACTAGGAGACATCATTAACAGACCAAATGAAGTGTTTTGCATTTACTTGTGTAACTTGAAGTTTACCATTATTTCCATTTTCATCTACAGCTGCAAAGTCTACTCCATTCTCCAGAAGGACTGAACAAATGGTGGGCAGGTCTTGCTGGGCTGCTAAGTGAAGAGCAGTCTGGCGGTGCTTGGTCAGTTCATTCACCTGGGCACCTGCAAGCAGCTGTCAGGATGAAAGGAAGAATATATTTCAAAGATGGTTTCAGGGCTATTTTAGCCAATAGTTTATTTCTGTGAACGAAGCACACAATACTCTACTGTACAGAGACACTTCTAGACCTCCAGAGTGTATAAAATTTTATCATTACTGAGCTCCTATAACTTGTGTTCGTGTTCAAATGTACAGAAAAGGCAAGGAAAGATTCTTTAAATTGAATCACACTGCCTAGCAATTGCCACAAACCCAAGGTGCTCATGTGAAGGCTACTGTGGTAGTTCAGCTAACAGTACAAGCTAAGGGAACTTTCTGTTTCAGAAAGTGTGGTGCAACTTTGATGTGATTTATCAGCCTGCAGGCACTGTGCAGTAAGGTAGGGTGTACATTTTTAAGCAGAGGAACGGTGACTGTCCAGCACACACCAGATTGCGCACAATAATCTCCGAGCCAGCCTGCACTGCCAGGTGCAGAGGGGTCAGTTTGGAGGCGTCCTGGACCCGAGAGTTGACATTGGCCTGCACGCTGATCAGGAACAGCACGCTCTCGATGTCCGAGTTCTGAACAGCCACATGGAGGAAATTCCGACCTTTATTATCAACCTGTGGCAGAAAGGGCACGTGAAATTATTATTCCTGTAGAACAAGGTATTTCATGTAGCAGGACATGCTTTCACTAAGAGACACTTGTTCCCTCTGCTTGAACTGCAGAATCTTGTTCCTTTCACTGGCTGACATTAGAGACTTATCTGATAGATGTGACTAACAACCAAACTGAGAAATTATCTGCTGCAACTGCTCAGTCCAATCTGCCTCACACTACTTTATTTCTATTTTATAACCTTGTCATTTCTTGACCACACACTGGAGAGTACTGTTAGACAAACAAAAGGTTAACAGCTGCTGTGGTTAAGTACTGAGCAGCAGTTAAAACAAACTCAGTTAAATGAAACAAGCTTGAGTCTATCTGGCAATTAATCCAGGCGAAGGAAGCAACATGGAATCCTTCCACACTGACGTAAAGTGTATTCACAGAACCACAGAATGGTTTGGGCTGGAAGGGATCTTCCAAGGATCATCCCCTGCCTTAGGCATGGACACCTTCCACCATCCCAGGCTACTCCAAGCCCCATCCAGCCTGGCCTTGGACACTTCCAGGGATGGGACAGCCACAGCTGCTCTGGGCACCCTGAGAATTCAGGTTTTTGGCTTAATACCGGGTACATGTTC